TTCAGGTGCCGAGGGCCTCCCTCCTAGTGTACAGACTAATCCCTTGCCTCTGATGCCCACTTCACTCACTCTTTATCTCTCCTGTGCTACTAACCAAGACACTGCACCTTCCCCAATCTCACACATTTCATCACACCCCTTGCTCCAATTCCAACTATATGTTAGCTTGCAGAAGAGCCCTCAGCCCTGATGCTAGCAGTGGATTTGACTCTAGAGATGAGTTATGCAAATATCAAAATGCCTTTATGGTTTGATGTCAAACTTGGAGTGTTTACAATTTAAATTTTGGCATTTATGGGCAGCACAGTGGCTAAATGGTTAGTACTTCAGCCTGGCAGTATTAGGGTTGTTAGATTGAATCAGAACCATGGCACCACCTGCCTGGAGTTTGCATATTCTCCCTGTGCTTGCATGGGTTTCCTCCGTGTACTCCAGTTTCCTCCCAAACTCCAAAGACATGCAGGTAGGTTAATTGGTTCCTGTCTAAATTGGACCTAGTATGGGTATGTGTGAATGTGACTTAGGGACCTTAGATTGTACATCCCTTAAGGATTAGGGATTGATGTAAATGTACATATATATATATATGTAAACCGCTGCGTAAATTGACGGCCTGAAATAAATAAAATTTCCATGCAGGCCACCCTAAGTAAAATCTATGTGATGCTGAGCCTCCATGACTGAAATTTAAAGAATGCAATGGCAGGCTAGGGAAAGTAAAGATGGGAAGAAAAGTGCTATATGATGCTAGATGTTGTATCACAGGAGTAAAAAAAATAAAATTAAAAAATAAAACTTAAAAAATAGTGATACAGAAACTATAGCTATTTGAAAAAGAAAGTGATGTCAAAATTAGAATGTCAAACAAAATTTTTTAGGTCAGCCCAAAATAACCTGTTTTACCCAACATCCCTTCACTGACTTCATTCAAGATTCCTCACTACATGACTGCTTGAGTTGGTCCTTAAATAGCAGTCTTTCCTCGGACTGAAATGAGTATTGTACCCAGTTCCTGCTGGAATGGATATTGTGGAGCTAACCTGGAATATGACCTTCGAGCACTAGATTCTGCTTGGGGAGCTTTCCAAACATTACATATTTGTCAACGTTAGCCGCAGAGCACATTCCAGATCCAAAGCTGTGGCATTGCAACAGTGCTTGCCTTAGATACTGTGTTGAGTAGTCAGGTGTTACTTTGACTGTAATGGTTGTGTGCATTAAGCACATGGAAGCTGTAGGCGATAGCCATCTTGTCATGTCTCAGCCTTTTTGTTTTTCATTAACCCAGTGATCTTACCCCCTCCCTCCTACTGCAAACTATGGAATTCATAGCCTTAACTTTTAAAACACTTCAAAAGAGCCTGTTATCTCAACTTAGGGACAGCAGTTACCAGCACACAGGCCTTTGTCAGAGCTGTAAACAAGTAACTGAGGCCTGGCACGATGCCTGTTTCTACGGACCACAAAAAACTCTACAGATTAACACTTACCTCTGACTTATCGTAAAACAATGAAAAAGTCCATCACTTCTGGCACACATGATGTGTAGAGCAATTAAAGCACTAGAAACACATAGCGCGCCATAAAATGTCTATCTAGAAAGCAGCCAGGGGTGGTCGACCTCTCTGAGACCTCTGCCCAATTCACAGCTTAACAAAATCCACACACAATTCATAAAATCCAACAGTAATAAGACACATTAATATTAAAGTATATATTTGAATGGGGACTATCATACCGAACAAATAAAGGTCATACATGGCTAAGTTAGTGCATACTAAAGGAGAGAAAGCAGTCTCCTCCCTCTTGGGTAACAGACCCATTTGAAATACTCCATGTTTGGTATTCCTGGACACAAAATATAATGCTGAACAATAATCTACCGGTTTCCAGAATACAGCCTGTACATAGTGAAAGATATTAATATTTGTATAAAACCGTAAGGGATACAGTCATAAACATGGTGACCTCCCAGCCAGAACCCCTTAAACTGGGTAATTGGTCAGATGGCCTCAGTCAACACCCCTTTGATATAACAGAAAAGGGAAATGTAAGGACTTTCTCGTTTAACATCAACCAAGGAACATCTAACCGGATTTGAGAGCCACTGCAATGTTTTTGCTTGGACAATTGGAGTCTTCTAAAACCAAGGACTTCGCAAGTATTTTGTTTTTCAATTCCTTTTTAATTCTCTGTTGTTTTATTGTCTCTATTTCCTTGTAACACCTTTTTTTTTCTGTAAATATTTTATTTGCACCATTTTGAGCTTTTCATTAGGGTCCTTTCACATGTCACGGACCCATTTAGCGGATCTGCTTGCTCAGCAGGGAATCTCTCCTCGCTGAGTAAACAGTTGACAGGTTTGTGTCCGCTCCACTGCTGCAGACCAGACACAAAGCAGCTCGTTTCCATCCGGTCCGATCTGACGGGCGGAAGGGAAATTGGAACCTCATCCGTCTCTTTTTGGCAGATTGGGATCAGATGTTGGTGGGTGCAAATGGACATGTGACCATAAAGGAGAATGGAGGTTCCGATCAGGTCCACTGAAAAACGGGCAGGCAAACCCGATTGGAACGTCCATGTGAAAGGTGCCTTTTTAACCCCTAGACGCCGAGTGCACACAAATATGCGGCCTCTCAGCGCCTGGGCCTTGATGCTGAGCAGCCATATATTTGTGTGCACGCTCCCAACACATATATCTGTGACTCACATAAAGGTCCCGATCTCCCATTGCAATCGGGACCTTTTCCGATCATGTGACCACCTTGACAGCAAATCACATGACCCTAAAACCCTGCCCTGCCTCCTGAAACTCTTAAAGAGCCAAAAGGCGCCAGCACAAAGGGGTTAAACACCATTTTGAAAGGTGTTGAACTTGCTTTTAATGCAAACTAAGAAATCCCTTTCTCTAGAAGAGTGCTACTGTATATGACAAATCTCTGAATATACCTGTCTGTGGTGAAAGTGTGTGTACAAAAAGTTTATTGTTCACATTTGTTCTTGCTAATATTGTGAAGGGTTGACAGGCCAAAAGCTATCCAGTGGCAGTTTGGAGTTTAACGGGTTAACCCAGTGACAATTGCTCTAAGTCTGTTGGCACTTATATTGTGGTCCCGCAAGCTGGAAAATCTTTGTGCAGAGTGCAGCTCAGAGTGGCATTGTTACGTGACAGCACAGTGTGAGATTGGCCGGTCCTTTGGTAGGAGTTTTGGTAGGAGTTGGTGAGAAGGGCAGGGGTCAGGCATTGCGTTTGCCACACTGACAGAACCACCAACGTCAATATCTTGTGCACGATTTCTTTCCTGCCATTGAACTTACAGGAAGCATCAGCCCACTGCTGCTGAATTCCTGGTCTCCCCTAAGGGCCCATAGAGGGTATATTCACACAAGATGCAGTGAGACTGTGTTGGGTGGCTATACCAGGAATCCCACCACATGGACAGGGCAAAATGCCTTCTCTCCTAAGTGCCCGGATCACACCACTGTGTTGCGTTGGTGCGTGGGCACCTTGTGCTAAGAAAAAAAAAAAGTACTGCATGCACTATATATCAGTGAGAGGCAATCCACTGCTCTGCACCATTTGGCCAACAACTGAACTTTATGAGAGGACTGTGTGACATCTCAATAGCATAAAAAAGGACAGTGCAATCCAGCAAACTCAAAACATCATCACTGTGCTGATCTCAGCTGGATCACACTGAAATGCAGCGACTGTTGTGAACGTGCCCTCACACCAGAAACTGCATGTCTACTGCACATTTGTTCATGTGTTTGATACAGTTTACATTCTTTTTTCCATCCATGTCTGTTTTCAGCTCATTTTCTTCTTCGGGCTGTTATATGCTCTGTGATTATAGGCAATAAATGCAGCTTGTCATACTTTGCTCTCTCATGTACACTGCAGCAGATAAACTCACTTTTAGGAGCTGTTCAGAGGGTTTTCAGCAGCCCCTGAACTCACCCTAATGTTTTCCTATGTGTCCATGTACACATCTTCGTTTACAGGCATTTGAGTTTACAGTCGTTTTTTTTTAATGCAGAAAACTTGTGTTCAGCAGTTGATTTTATCAGCATTTCAAACAAAATGCTTGTAAACGCGGCAAATTGCATTTATAAGCGTTTGCAAATTTTTTAAACTCTTCCAGTTCCCAAAGCTGCCCAGAGCCTTTTTTTATCATGAAAAATGCATGCAAAGCATTTTCAAGGTACTCAAATAGACAAAACACTGAACACAGGATGTTCCTACCAAGCTCGTCACACATTGTAATAACCAATACCCACCTCAGACCTCTCCCACCATTGGAAAAAAAGACATGTTAATGACCATTCACACCTCAAATTCCTCATGAAGACCCCCTGCCAGGTGACCTTAATGACTCACTACACCAGACACCTTTCCCACCCTTGGAAACAGTTAATGAGAAACTCACACCTAAACTAATCTCAACACATACTGCACTCTCTGCTTCTACTCTCTGTATTCCTTTGAAACAGTCTGAAATAGTTAATAATTTAACACTTTTCAGTGCATTTGGGAGGTTCTCCTGTGCTTATCTTTAAAAAATGCACATAAACACGTTATGCAAACGCAGCTAAACAGACATTTTTTTAACCTATGCTTTCCAGCACTTTCCATTGTTCAGAAATGTCCTGTGCACATGGAGCCTAATGGCATGAATAATGTCCATAGAGTAATCTAGATGTTGGACTGTCTATGCTATTGGAGTGTAGTCAAAAATGCACCTGGTGTGAATGGGCCCCCTAATAGAACATCTGTCACCCTGCAATGCAGTCCACACACTCCCCTCACCTCACGATTCTGGCGATACACCCCCTTTAGGGCTCATACTGAACCCTACAATGCTGCCTGTACATCCCTCCCCCCTCTTCCTGGTTCATGCTACTGACAGAGATCTCCGCGTCTTCCCGCGCTCTCAGTTCGTTCGGTGTACGCTCCGCCCCGCTGACATCACTTCCCGTCCTCTAGCGGTTACAGTTGAATGATGGAGGAGGGAGGTGCTGCCATAGTATTACAGGTGAGGAGTTTGCTATACAGAGAGCAGTGCGGTCGGTCGGTGTGTTGGGTGGATACAGTCTACATCTTCTCTGTTTTAGGCTCACGCCCGCGGTGTGCTGGTCCGCCGGAGACTCCAGAGACTTCTACGGGACTATGAGGATGTGGTGAGAGACATAGAGGGAGAGGACATCTCTGTACACTGGGGGGCCCGGCTCCTTTCCCCGCCACTCTTCAACACTGAGGTGAGTGTGCTATGTGTATATGAGGGGCAGACCTCCTCTGTGTGACATGGGGGCGGGTTTACTAAAGGCAAGCAGGCTGCATTTTGTAAACAAAATGTGGTGTTTCTAAAGACACAAGGGGGGTTACCTTAAAGCGGTAGACAACTGCCAAAGAAAATTCCCTGCAAAATAATATGCTGGCATCATCACATATTAGCACATTAGGAGAGGCTTCCCTTAGAACAAAGTCCTCCATTGGTGCACTGTCACCACTGACAGTACTTCCGTCTTCATCGCAGGTTGGTGGGCTCTAACAGTTTGATTGGCCAAGCTGCGATGACATCACTTCATGTACGCAGGAGTCTCAGCCACGGCACAGAGCTCTGAAGGAATGGCACGCGTATGCTGTTCCTTCAGAGCGCATACATTGGTGATGTCATCAGCTGCAAGGATACAGAATATTTGATATTCCTTATACCCACAGGTAAGTTGTATTATAAGCTTACCCGTAGGTACCAGTGTCCAGTGGGAGTTTACTTCCAATTTAACCGCTTCCTGATCAAGTACGCAAAATCGTGTGTATATATATATGTGATTTTGCCTCTCCGAGTAGAGGGTGTGCACACCCTGCCCGCGCCTCCATTTGCGGCCGCAGCTGTCAATCACTGGGTTCTGGCCGGTGATTACTCGCCGGCACCCAGTGATTGCCAACCATCTCCGACGGGGAGGAGAAATAATGTAAACAATACAGTTCTCCTCCCTGTCAGCTCCTGCACACTGCTTTGGATGGCTGTGCCGCACAGCCATCCAAAGCAGTGTGATTAGTGAAGCCCACAGATGCAAGTAAAACAGCACACAGTTAACCCTTTGATCGCCCCTCATGTTACCCCTTTCCTGCCCAGTGCCCTTAGTACAATGTCAGTAGTTTTTTTTTTTTTTTTTTTTTTTTTTTTTTTTTTTAAAGCACTGACCACTGTATTGGTGTCACTGGGGATGTCAGAATGCCCACTGCAGTCACGCTATAAGTAGCTGATTGCTGACATTACTAGTAAAAATAAAAATTCCATTATCTATCCCGCCATTTGTAAACCAATAAATTTACACGTATTGGGATTTATTTTTTTTAACAAAGACATGTCGCAGAATACATTTTGGTCTAAATTGATTTTTAAAATTTTTTCACTGGACATGTTTAATACAAAAAAAAAAAAAAATATATATATATATATATAATTTTTTTTTTCTCAAATTTTTTTCTTTCATATAGTGCAAAAAATAAAAACCACGCAGGTGGTCAAATACCACCAAAAAAGCTCAATTTGTGGGGAAAAAAGTAAATTTAATTCGGGTGCAGTGTTGCATGACTGCGCAATTGTCAGTTAATGTAATGCAGCGCCTTAACACAAAAAAAGGCCTGGTCAGGAAGGGGGGTAAATGCTCAGGAGGGTAAGTGGTTAAAGCAGAATGGAAGTCCTGGTGTCTAATGGTAACTGTCTCGACCTTGTATTCTCCTACCTATGCACTCCTTGCAACCTCACCAACTTCCCTTTTCCTGTCTTATCACTCTCTTATTAGCTTCACTCTCTCCTTGGCTTCCTCCTCCTTGTCTGCCAACTACCAGTTACCCGTAGAAACCTTAGCTGTCTTAACCCTTCTCTTCTTTTTTCCTGCAACAGATTGTCTATGACAAAATCTCAGCCCTGTCCTGCCCCAACTTGGCCACTTCTGTATACAACCATTCACTGTCTTCCACCGTGGACACACTGGCCCCCCTCACTACACACAGAATTAGGCCCCAACCACTACAGTCCTGACAGACAATACCTGATGCCTCAAAAAACATAGCCAGGCTCTGGAGCGTTTATGGCATAAGACTAAGACCCAGCAAGACTTCGACCAATATAAATCTACCCTTCAAAAATAAATTCTGGTCTCCACACTGCCAAACAGACCTATTTTATCACTCTTAACACCCTCTCACACAGTTCCCATCAACTCTTTTTTTTTCTACATTTAACTCTGCTTCGTCCTTCATTTTTTCCACCCACTAACTCACTCACTGCCCAGGAGATCACTAATCACTTAAAAAATAAGACTGATACAGTTTGTGATTAGATTGTACACCCCTTGAGGGTTAGGGACTGATGTGAATGTACAATATATATGTGTAAAGTGCTGCGTAATTGGTGGAGCTACATAAGTACCTGAAATAAATTAATAAATGAGATCTCCACTGTACAGATATCTCCCCCACCCTACACTCCTTGTCCACCTGCACAATCTATACTTCCCTTGTTTAACCCAACTACTATAGAGGAGGTTGGTAAACTGTTTTCTAAAGCCCACCTAACCACCTGCCCCCTGGACCCTATTCCCTTACAAATACTACAGTCACTCTCTGGCTCTATCCTTCACTCTTTAACTCATATCTTCAATAAAAACTCACAAATGACTTACCACTAAAACCAATGTTCACTATTCCGTACTCTTACAACCCATCCCCGCATGCCAGGGTGCTAGGGGTAACCCCGGATTCTGAACTATCCTTTCAGGCCCACATCCAATCCCTGTCCAAATCATGCCACCTCAACCTCCAACATCTCCAGAATACGCCCCTTTTTAACCAATGATACCACAAAGCTCCTAATTCACTCCCTAGTTATCTCTTTCCTTGATTACTGCAACTTCCTCCTCATTGGCTTACCTTTACATAGGCTATTCCTCCTCCAGTTCAGTATGAATGCTGCTGCCAGGCTCATCCACCTTACCAAGCGTTCAGTGTCTGCTACCCCTCTGCCAATCAATCCACTGGCTTCCACTCGCCCAATGAATAAAATTAAAAATACTAACAACTTACAAAGCCATCCACAACTCTGCCCCCAGCTATATCACCAACCTGGTCTCAAAATATCAACCAAACCGCTCTTTGATCCTCCCAAGACCTTCTGCTCTCTAGTTCCCATGTCGCCTCCTACCATGCTCGCCTCCAGGACTTCTCCCAAGCTTCTCCCATCCTATGGAACTCCCTACCCCAATCTGTCTGGCTATTTTTTAATCTATCCACCTTTAGATGATCCCTGAAAACCTCTCTCTTTAAAGAAGCCTATCCAGCTTCTAACTAGTAAACTGCCTTTGATTTCCACAGCTCATCCCCCACAGCTATTACCTTTTTGTATCACTCAACCCTTCCTCTTAGATTGTAAGCTCTAACGTGCAGGGCCCCCTGTTTCCTCTTGTACCAAATTGTATTGTAACTGTAATGTCTACCTTCATTTTGTAAAGCACTGCATGCACAGTGTTTTCCTTGTTTTCCAATGGCCTTCACATCAGTGCAGTCAGTTTCCAGTACAGAAAAAAAAAATAGAACTTGCTGCATTTTGTCTGCACAGAACTGTACTAAAACACAGTAAAATGCATAAAAAACACACTGGACTGGTGTGTAGTGTGAACTGTAAGCAAAAATGTATTCAGAGTGCATTTTTGTGATGTGAACTGGCCCTAAGGCAAAAAAAAAAAAACAGAACTGTCAGTAGCAGCTTCCCCAGCCCCCAGTACTTATAGTGGGGGAAATGATTATTTGATCCCCTGCAGATTTTGTACGTTTGCCCCACTTACAAAGAAATGAAGGGTCTATAATTTCTATCATAGGATTTTAAAAGATAGAGACAAACTATCAACCAAAAATCCAGAAAACAACACATGATACAAATGTTATACATTGAGTTGCAGTTCAGTGAGTAAAATAAGTATTTGAGCCCCACGTAAAGCATGACTTATTACTTGGTGGAGAAACCCTTGTTGGCAAGCACAAGGGGTAAGATATTTCTTGTAGTTGGTTACCAGGTTTGCACACATCTCAGGAGGGATTTTGGTCCACTCTTCTACAGGTCTTCTCTAAATCCTAAAGGTTTCATGGCTGCCGCTTGGCAACTCAAAGTTTCAGTTCCCTCCATAAATTTTCTATAGGATTAAGGTCTGGAGACTGGCTAGGCTACTCCATGACCTTAATGTTGTTCTTCTGGAGCCACTCCCTTGTTGCCTTGGTATGTTTTGGGTCATTGTCATGCTGAAAGACCCATACAGGACCCATCTTCAGTGTTCTGGCTGAGGGAAGAATGTTCCTTTCCAAGATTTTGCAATACATGGCCCCGTCCATTGGCCCCTCAAAGCAGCAAAGTTGGCCTGTACCTTTAGCAGAGAAACCGCCCCAAAGCATAATGTGTCCACCTCCGTGCTTTACTGTAGGGATGGTGCTCTTAGGGTTATAACTTATAATCAACATTTTTTTCTTCCTCCAAACACGACGAGTCGAGTTAATGCCAAAGAGCTCAATTTTGGTCTGACCACAGCACTTTCTCCCAATCCTTCTCTGAATCATTTAGATGTTCATTGGCAAACTTCAGACAGGCTTGTACATGTGCCTTTCTGAGGAGGGTGACCTTGCAGGCGCTGCAGGATTTCAGTCCATGGCGGCATATTGTGTTACCAATGGTTTGTTTGGTGACTGTGGTCCCAGCTGCCTTGAGATCATTCACAACCTCCTCCTGTGTAGTTCTGGGATGATCTCTCGCTTTTCTCATGATCATCCTTACCCCATGAAGCGAAATCTTGTATGGAGCTCCAGGCTGAGGGCGATTGATGATTGTTTTGTATCAATTTATAATATTTATATCGTGTTGTTTCTGGATTTTTGGTTGATATTCTGTCTCTATCATTTAAAATACATCTATAATAAAAATGATAGACCCTTTATCTCTTTGTAAGTGAGCAAACTTACAAAATCTGCAGGGGATCAAATAATTATTTTCACCACTGTACCTGACTCCTCTAGCAGTCCAGTGCTGTTCCTGTCTACAGCAGCTCTTCTTTCCTCTTTCTGCTCCCAAAGGCTTTGCTGACCACAGGATCTATTGGCTCTTGCTGCTGTTGGTCAAATCAGTGAGAGCGGGGCTGAGGCCAAAGCCGCACTGTGTCTGGATGCACACAGTCCGCCCCAGTGCATGCCTACATGATTGCCCCATAGCAAGCAGCTTGCTATGAGGGCACTCACAGCAGAAGAGGAGCAGAGAATGCTGGCAGGGAACCCCAGAAGAGTTTTGGGGCCGCTCTGTGCAAACTCAATGCAGGTAAGCATAAACTTATTACAAAAACCGTTTATAACCTCTTTACCCTGGCGAGAGACTCTTCCCCCGATCTTAGTGAATTGGGTGCAATTTTATTTTGCAAGAAACACCCAGTCACATGCAAAGGAAATTAAACAAACTACATTTTTTTGTTTGCACATGATTGGATGATGTAGCTTCACCTCATTCACTAAGCTCTGGGGAAATTTCCCTTGCAAAGTATAGCTTTCCTTGCAGAGTAAGCAGGCTATTTGCTTTTTAGTAAATCATCCCCAGGGTGTCTCTCTCCTTCTAGGTTGAGCACAGAGATACAGCTGGACTCAGAGCTCATAAAAGGAATGGTCATAGTGGAGGCAGATATATCCGAAACACAGACTCCATCCTATCATGCAGTGAGGGAAAGGAAGCTGTACGAGACTTCGGACATGAACCTTGTACCCTAGAGAAAGATCACAACCATTACCAACCATCAGAGCCTGGAGAAGTGCTAGCAGAGGGCCAACTACAAGGAGCTGCCTCAGAAAGTGAGCACCTGTCTGGAAAAGAGACTCCGCTTCAGGATGTCCCCACAAGAGAGCACCAAGTGTCAGAGACTACTGGCAGAATGGTGGAGAACCCTCTGCTGGAGAGCCATGCTTTACAGACTGGGAGCCCTGACATGGAATGTGTCCTTCCAGGGACAAGGATTACAGAAGAGGGAGACACTTTGTCAGTTACGCAAGGACAGCCCTTCCCCCATCATTCCAACATAACCAGTAACACAGATCAAACGTATGAGAGTTTAGAATGGACAAGAAGCAGCTCTGTGTGGAGTGACAAGTCCATGGATGCAGGTGAGGAAGAAATCAGTGAACCATGGGAAACTGTATGTATCAGGGGACAAAAACATTCCCCTGTGGGTGACCTGTGTATACTGCAGGAATTTTATAGGAGTGTGGAAACTTTTGAAAAAACTGCTTGTCCAGGGACTAAATCAGTGCCCAAATCTACTTGTCCCTCATGACGACAATATACTTAAAAAAAAAAAAAAAAAAAAAAAAAAGCATATTTAAATCTAAATATAAGCAGCGTCTGGGGCTTTTAAAAACAAAAGGGGCTTTATGTTGACTTAAACGTTAAGTATTTTTAACAATGCGCTGTTTATCTCCTCCTCTCCTCTCTGCCTGTCTCCAGCACCGCACCTGGGGACTAGCAGGGAGGGGAGAGACCTTGCAGTGTAATGAGCACTGATTGGGTGCTCCTCAGGAAAGGGGACTGTCGAGCTTATCCTTTATCCCTTTTTGCTGCCAGAGCCGTTTTTTGCGTTTTTTGCATACGTTAAAAAAAAATCATTTAGGGCCTGAAGATTACACAAAACTCCAAAGCATGATATATTTTCTGAAAGCAGACACCCTAGAGAATAAAATAGCGGTAGTTCCAATTTTTTTGTCACACCATATTAACACAAAGGTCTTGGAAACGCAAAATTTCAGTAAAAATACACTTTTAATTTTAGAGTACAAAAAGCAATAAATTATCCAATTTTTTTTTGTAAAATATAAAAGACGAGGTTGCATCAAGTAAATAGATATCCAATATGTTGAACCTTAAATTTGCATGCGCTCGTGAAATGGTAACAAACTTTAGTACCCTATATTTTCTATAGGTGACACATTTAAAGCCCCTTATAGGTCATAACTTTAGCGTTACGGAGGAGGTCTGGTGCTAGAATTATTGCTCTCATTCTGGCGTGCGCGGCGCTATGTAATTTGTATCGCAATCATCGTTTTCATGCGTAGGCACCCCAGCGTGTGCTTTTACGTTTGTACATGCATACATATGTGGGGGTGGGGGGCCTTGAAAAATTTTTGGGGGGGGGGGGGGTGTTATATGCTTGGGTGTAACTTTAAAATTTTTTTTTTCATTTACAAAAAGTCCCCTATGTGATCATTTTTGGTGACAGGTTCTTTTTTTTTTTTTTTTTTTTTTTTTTTTTTTTGAGACCTCCAAGGTCTTAAAGACCCTGTATGTCTCCCCTGAATGTAATGCAGTGCACAACGCTCGATGGCCAGGAATCTGTCACCAGGGACCTGGAAGTGATGTTGCATCACCTCCGGGTCAGGACAAGAAGGGAAGCGGATGCGTCCTGCAGATGGGCTAGCGGATCCTGAGAGACATAGCGGCCGGGGGAAGGGGGGGTTGTCAGGTTTGTATATGAATTGAACATCCCTGAATGTTAACAGCATTTATAACAGATTCCTATAATTTCTGTTCTGAAGAAATAGCTGTTTATTCTACCATGTTATTTTCATGGTAGAACCAATCACAAAGCAGGAAACCTTTTCTGGGGCTTTTCTGTACACGAGTGGTGTACACAGCCTCCAGGCTGCCATGTTGTATTTCATTTTCTGACAGTTTTTTAAATAAATACATTGGCTGCAGACTAATATGGAAAGGGAATTTAAAAAAAATTAAATTTCAACATGGCTAGCGTTAGCCATTTTAATTCTTTAACATAAATTTCATTTTCTTTAAACTGGGCTCTTGGGCACCATGATTTTAATATCATAATACAGTTTTTAACTCCCTTTCCAATGTTGCATGTCCTCTTATGCCTAAGTTGTACTTCTGATTCCAGCTTACTATTGTAAGTTAATGTGGTGTCTCTGCCCCTGCACATTCACCTATTTATATATATCACAGCATGTGATAACACTGCTGCCATGATGATTTTTGCAGGGCTGCAGCATCATCTCAGGCTTTGTTTTTTAAAGTAGAAAGCATATGTGGGGCAAAGATAAAACACCAGGGTAAGTGTTAATCTTTACCATACCACTGATGTCGGTTGGCAGCAGGGGTACACCATAAGGCTCCTTTCACACGGCTGATTTGTCGCGGCCTTCGGATTCCTGCAGCAAGAATCTACGGATTCTTGCTGCAAGAATCCGGGTTATGCGATTAACATCAGCCGCTCAGCCCATTTAAACTAAAGGTGGATTGACGCAGTCAGCTGTGTTCAGACTCAAACATCTGTTGCAGATCTGCAGCTAATTGTTATGTGTGTGGCTACATGTAATCAACAGCAGCCACTGTCAGCCCGCCATTAGTTTAAATCTAATCGCATAACTCGGTCATTCCTGCAGCACAGCAAGAATCTGCAGATTCTTGCCACAGGAATTCGAAGGCCGGAACAAACCAACCATGCAAAAGGGGCCAAAGCTGTAAGACCAGATACAACCAAAAGCCTCATTTTTATGCTGGTTAAAGTAAGCAAAAAAAAGTCTAGACTGAAGAAGTAAATATTAATACCCCTAACGATAATAAAATCATGGAGCCTCGAGGTCAGCTGTTGCATAAATACTGATACCTGCATCTTCTGAGATCTATGGCACATTTTCATAAAGCTGACCATACATATTACAGTTTGGTTGAACAATATAATTTACTAAGCTTTTGGGTTGATTTGTACAAAAATAAAATATTGTATATTATCTGAGTGTCAGGATGAGTGGCCAGCCAAACCATCTGGGTGTATTACCTGATTTTGTCAAGTGGAATGGACATTGTATGTACAGCAAAAACTAATCTCCATGACTCAAAAATACATGCCATCATAACAGATGTGCCGTTTCCCATTCATCAGTAAAATATTTTATCTTTGATATGTTCCGTTTTCAATCACTGAGATGTTAGTATGTCCACTGTGAATGTTAGAGAGCTTTCATCTCTACAGTGCACAGTGTCGGTTATATCACCTGAACTTGAAATTTGTTCTCCAGTCTTTCACTGAAACCTGCCCAGAAACAAATGTGGGTTGCCATTGCTGAACTCCTAATGAAAATTCTGTTTGCCTGGCTATGTTTGGCTGCAATGCTTTGGGAGTCACTAACTCAAAACAACATTGCAACTGATGAAGTCAGTCATTTAGTATATCGAAGCCATTGGATCAGCATGGTATACAAGCAACTACCATTTTCAGAAGGAGAGTTCTGCAATGCAGTCTGTTTTTGCCTCAAAAAAAGCTTTATAATATACTCTCTCCTCCCTAGTTTGGGTACACAATAAAATATACAGTTTCTTTTAGTCCTCATGCACACTGGACATTTTTACAGCGGCTGTTTTTGGCTTTTGACATTTTTTTTTCTACAGCCAGTAAACTTCCCAGCATATTATCATATGTGTCCATGCACATATAGACTGCAATCTGTTTTTTGGCTGGAAAAAAACCCCAGAACTAGTGGGTTTCTAGAGGAGTTTTTTTAGCTGTAAAAACGCTCTAACGCTGAAAAATGCGGTAAATCGCAGCAAACCAGCGGTTTATTGACTTTTTGAGCAAAAAAAAAAATTTTGTTTAGGGTAAAAGAAATCGCAAATGTGAAAAAATGTGGCTAAACGCTAATGCAAAAATGCTGAAAAACACGTTAATGTGACTTTACACAGCTAACATTACCAGCGATATTAAAAATGCCCAGTGTGCATGAAGCCTTATGTTTGTCAGTATAAATCAACAGAAATGTATGTACACTATAATAAAACATTTTGTTTATTTAAATTGACAGTCACAAATATATGTATTTTTTTTTACTCCCATATTTAGGGTGTAAGATGGTGTCATGCAGATTTTTGATCTGCATTTGAAGTTTCTGCATTGGAAAGTGTTTTGCATTAATTGTTTCTCCATAAATGAATGTTTTCTCTAATTTAGATCTCTCTTTGAAGAATCCAAATGAGCTGCAAATGCTTAGGAGCCACTTGGCCATGGAGATTCTATGGGTTCAGCAAGCAATAGCCAGTAGAAAAAATGTAAGTCCTGTATGCCGACGTACTGCCTTTTGCCTGTGCTATGCTCATTCTAAATGATTTGGGCCCCTTTCACATGGGGCAGACGCAGCAGGTAATCTGCCTGCTGATCAGAGTGGAATGAGCGGATAACAGGTCTGTGTCTGCTGAGTTTCTGCAGAGCAGACAGGGGTGGAGCCAGCTCTGCTCTGTGGGTGGCTGGGGGTAAACAGACTCTGCTGCCCATTTATACCTGACTGCCCTCATATCCTGTCCGCCTAGACCAGTGGTCGGCAAGCCGCGGCTCGCGAGCCACATGCGGCTCTTTACACGCTTTCATGCGGCTCTTGAGTGCCGGGCGCCCGCTCCCCTCCCTCCTCTCGGGCGGCAGGGACTCTGCAGCTTGATCCAAAAAAAAAAAACAGCCAGGGCAGCGCGCTCAAATGCATTGATTGGCCAGTCTCGCTGCCACTCACATCCTGATAGCCAGTGATTGGCTGTCAGGATGTGTGTAGGTGGGGCAGCGTGACGAACGTGAGAGGAACTAGGCTCCTCTCACAGTCCGCCCTGAAGACCGGAACGGCGCGGGAACACAGCGAGAGGAACGCGCGGAGCAAAGATAAGTGAATTGACACAGGGGGGACTTGGCTTACTACTTGCTACTTACTTACTACTACTATAGGGGGGAGGAATTACTATGGGGGGATGAATTACTATAGGGGGGAGGAATTACTATGGTGGATGAATTACTATGGTGGATGAATTACTATAGGGGGGATGAATTACTATGGGGGGGATGAATTACTATGGGGGGGGGATGAATTACTATGGGGGGGATGAATTACTATGGGGGGGATGAATTACTATGGGGGGGATGAATTACTATGGGGGGGATGAATTACTATAGGGGGGATGAATTACTATGGGGGGGGATGAATTACTATATGGGGGATGAATTACTATGGGGGGGATGAACTTATGGGGGATGAATTACTATAAAAAAACGTATTGAAACTAAAAAACAGTGTACCATCCTATGTATTTTCTGTTTTAAAAATGTGGCTCTCAAAATAAATTTCAATCGTGGTTTTGGCAAGATTTGGCTCAGTTGAAAAAAAAGGTTGCCCACCACTGGCCTAGATGGATCTCCTTCCATTTGTTTTTTTTGCAGATTGGATTGGAGGTAGGCAGGTGTAAATGGACACAAGTCTGTTTACACCTGCTGGTCCATGGAGTTGAAGGGTCAAAAAAAAAAAAAAAAAAAAAAAAGACAGGCAGACCTGATCGGATGCTTCTCGAGGAAGGGGCCTAAAGCTGAATGCAATGCAAACAGTAAATATACAGATGAAATACATGTAGGGGAGCTATTTTACCTGCCTAAGGATTTGTATTTCAGTCTGTCCAGTCTTGAAATTTTACACAGCTCTGCCACACAGAACAGCTGTTTAGCAGGAAGAATACCTACTTTTTGTACTGTTTACAGGTCTTGCCTCTCCCCCAGCCTGTGGCTGACTAGTAAAGTAAGAAGCAGCAGGCTGATAACCTCTGTCATTTGGCTCTTGTCGTCCCCCCCCCCCCCCCCCCCCCCCCCGCTATTTCAATTCACTGCTGATACCAGTATACAAGTACTGCTTATTAATTGATTTTTGGGGTTCAGTCACAATGCTTAGAGCGGTGAGGAAGACTGACCAATCAGTGCTGTCTGCTCACTCAGTTCTTACCCTTTGAGCTAGCACTGGACAGATGCAGCATTGATCTCATCTAGGCAAGTATGAATTAAAACCAAAAAAAAACACATACTTTAAAATATATAAATCTTTAAAAAAAAAAAAAAAAGGCATCATTTTTGCAATAGTTTTGCACCTTCATCACTTGTAAAACTCTTTAACCTCCCTGGCGGTATTACCTAGTGTAGCTTGGGGTAAAGTTTCAGTACCACAAGCAGTAACGCCGAGCTACACTCGGGAATACCATGCGGCGCTGCTCTGCGATCCCTCGATCACTTACCTTGTCCTGCGCTCCCGCGATGTCCCTCCTGCAGTGTCCCCGGCAATGTCCTCCGGCGTATGCCGGCATCTGTCATCTGGGTTCCATTCTATGCGAGCGTCGGGACGTACAGGGGATGGAACGGCGGGAAATTTGAAAATGACAAAAAGTGACATTCACTAAAATCACATAGTATAACATTACTGTATCAAAGCATTTCACATACATTTTGTCCCTAGTGCTTTGTCCTGTGCCCTGCCTGCATTTTTACTGTTCTTTCTGCGTGGAAACTGAGAAACGTCCATGGCGTTCAAAAAGCATCCCGTTTGGTCAAAAGCGGTTTTAGACCAGCTAATATACAGCAATAGTAAATTAGAACTACTTGCAGAATTGAATGATGATTCGTGGGGAAATTCGTCATTAGACACTGAAAATGATTTTGCGACTTTGCTCAGTGATGTGAGGGCTTGGAAGATCAGTTGAGGGTTGAAAAAAGAACACTGGTAACTGACGGGTATCACCAGAGGCATACCTTGAGTGTAAAAGCTCATTCAGACAAGCATACCTAATTTCAGAACATAAAATGCAGGATGGCAGAAACTGACTGGAAAATCCTATGTTGAAATTTTCTATACAGTTTTAAAATTTGTATATTGTTTACGCTATGTTCACATCTGTGCGGCTCTGCAAGCCGCAGTCTGTGCAGCCACGTCAGCCTGTTTATTAAAATGTTTTCTGTCGGAACAGGTGCAGGCCCACAACTGGAACCTAGCCTAGCGTACAAGAGTACAGTGTTAATGATGGCTATAGGTAATAGGTGTAGCTGGGCTATACATGATATTGATGTGTTGGCCCTGAGCAGAGGTTAGTAGGCTTTTTGCATGTTGTAGGCTTGTAAACAGTGGCACAAGCCTATAGGATTAAAAAGGTCCAAATTATGCCACCCCCTTCCCATAGGCAGACCTGTCTGAATGGGCCCATAGATTTGCATACAGATGTGTACAAACTGATACACTGTGCACATGTGTTTTTGTGCCCATGAAGCTTTTTGTATTAATGTCAATTTCTTTATTGACCTAAAACAATACATGTAGGCGGCTTAAAAATATTACCAATTGAAGGTTCCAGGGTTGATAAAATTATGTAAAAATAATTTTGGCTTGCAGACCAATTAAAAAGTTGATTAAACTACTGCAAACCAAAGTGCAAAATTTGTTTAGGTCACAAACATTTTGATTACCTCAGGACTTAAAGTGGAGTTCCAGCCGAAAAAAAAAAAAAAAAAGTAGCCAGCAGCTACAAACAATAGTCACTTACCTGTCCAGCGGTGTCCTCACCATCGCTTGTTTCAGTGGCCGTTTTCTCTCCCTTGCACCAACATCTTCAGCTGTTGGCTTCACAGCCGGGTACCCACTGCGCATGTGCGAGAAGCGCTGCACTTTGTGAATGGCCCCGTAGTCTTCTGGGACCAGGACAACTTCCGCTTCCAGTCGCCTAGGCGATCGCAGCGAAGGTGGGAGTGGGTACCTGTCAAATTCAGGTACCCACTCCCCAAAGGTGCAGAAATAACTAGATAAAACCAGTATACATTTTTATCTACCTTCTTGCAATGGCAGTCCGTTGATATTTCCTCTAACAATGTTAAAAATATTGCTTTATGAGCTTAGCTTTTTTTTTTTTTCATTGCTTCAAGCTTTAAAGGACATTTCACTTTCAAATGCTGGAGAGTACAAAATCAGGCTCCTTTCTGTATTCTATTAAAAGAACAATCGGCTTCTAACCTTAGCTTGTTTAACCACTTGCCTACCAGGCACTTATACCCCCTTATTTACCAGGCCAATTTTCAGCTTTCAGCGCTGCCGCACTTTGATTGACAATTGCGCGGTCATGCAACATTGTACCCATATGAAATTTTGATCATTTTTTTCTCACAAATAGAGCTTTCTTTTGGTGGTATTTAATCGCCACTGGGCGCTTTACTTTTTGCGCTATAAATACAAAAAGTGCAAAAAATTTGAATAAAAAAAAAGGTTTCTTTGTTTCTATTATAAAATTTTTCAAACAGGTAATTTTTCTCCTTCACTGATGTGCGTTGATTAGGCGGCACTGATGGGCACTGATAGGCGGCACTGATGGGCACTGATAGGCGGCACTGATGGGCACTGATAGGCAGCACTAAAGGGCACTGATAGGCAGTACTAATGAGGTGGCATGGATAGGCGTCACTGATAGACAGCACTAATGAGGTGTCACGGATAGGCGGCACTAATATGCAGCACTGATAGGTGACACTGATAGGTGACACTGATGATGGGTACTGATAGACGGCACTGACTGGCATCACTGCTGGGCACTGGTGGGTGGGCACAGGTGGGTGGCACTTCTGGGCACAGGTGGGTGGCACTTCTGGGCACAGGTGGGTGGCACTGCAGAGTGGCACAGGTGGGTGCACTGCTGGGCACAGGTGGGTGGAGCTAGTGGGCGCACTGCTGGGCACAGGTGGGCGGAGCTTGCGGGTGGCACTGCAGGTGGGCACCGATCATCAGGGCACTGATCATCAGTGCCCTGATGATCGGTGCCGATCCCCGCTCTGACAACTGCCGGTTCTCGGCAGTACTTTCCTCAGGATCTGACAGCGTGAGGAAAGTGCAGCCGAGAACCGGCACTTGCATTTTCCTCTGATCAGCGTGTCATTGGACACCGCTGATCACGTGGTAAAAGGCCGCTGTGATTGGCCTTTTACCACATCACGTGATCAGCTGTGTCCGTAGGACACAGCGATCACGGAGATCGCCGGGTGCGCGCCCCTGGGGCACGCAGGAGAGCGCGTTCTGGGAGGACGTCATATGACGTCCACCCAGAACTGGCCGGCCACAGTGCAGCCGTCATTCGGCTATCTGCGGTCGGCAGCTAGTTAATTAAGCTTTGGTAATAAATCCTGGAAGCTGATTGGTTTCTATGCAAAAGTGATCCTGATTTGCACTCTCCAGTTTTAGTAAATAGACTCCATTATGTTGCCCTATCCTTCTAAAAATGTAATGTAATTGCCTGACATGATAATCCAGTGGTTTGGATACTTTGAGTCATGTTGTTTGTCTAACCTATGTTTTCTTTTTTGTTTCACAGTATCTAATGGTAAGGCAGAGGCTGTAAATTCAGAACTGATCAGGATATGCATCATGCCTTGAAAACAAGAGTTCTTTTATTTATTCCCTGTCATACAAGTTGGACTACAATGAATTTCTGTTGGGCTATGCATCAGATGTTTATATTGTATATCCACTCACGTTTTAATCTGCAGGAGATCAATTTACTATTGATACTGTTACAATGTTTGTTTTGACTAGTGCTGTTTACTAGTAAAAATAAATTTATTATTTTTTGAAACCTAATTTTTAGTGAGACATTTGTGTACATTACATACAACAGATGGGTATTCATTACACATTGGGAGGAGCAAATATATACAGGTGAAACTCAAAAAATTAGAATATCGTGCAAAAGTTCATTTATTTCAGTAATGCAACTTAAAAGGTGAAACTAATATACAGTCAGGTCCATAAATATTGGGACATCAACACAATTCTAACATTTTTGGCTCTATACACCACCACAATGGATTTGAAATGAAACGAAAACAAGATGTGCTTTAACCACTTCCAGACCGGACACTTTTACCCCCTTCCTGACCAGGGCAATTTTCATCTTTTAGCACTATCACACTTTGACAATTGCGCGGTCATGCAACACTGTACCCAAATGAATTTTTTACCATTTTTTTGAGATAGATAAAGCTTTATTTTGGTGGTATTTATTCACCACTGGGATTTGTATTTTTTTTGCTATGTAAATGAAATGTCCAAAAATTTTGAAAAAAAGTGTGTTTTTTTTATACAATTTTGCAAATAAATAATATTTCATCATAAATCTTAGCCAAAATTTATTCCGTTATCTTTTTAGTAAAAAAAAAAAAATCCAAATTAGTTTATAAGCAAAAATTATAATTTTTAAACATTTTTTTTTTACATTTTTATTTTTATTTTTTTATATTTTTTTTATTTTTTATTTTTTTTTTTTACATACTGTCACCCTAGCAGTACAGTGTCACCATGGTGACACTGTACTACTTGTGAGGGGTGATGAAGATTTTTTTTTTTTTTTTTTTTTTACACTGATTGCTTTTACACCCATATAGGATGTAAAAGCAATCATTTCTCTTTCTCTCTGTGTGCATTCTTGCACTCATTGAGAAGAACTGAGTGAGCTGTGATTGGTTACAGCTTGTCACATGGTACAAGGCTGTTGTGAATAGCCTTGTACCATTTGACCTCTGTGATCATTCACATATTTCACACATAGTAAGCAATGATGTCAGAAGTGACATCTTGCTTACTACTTTGCATGTGATCACTGATTGGCCAATCAGTGATCACATGATCGGGACCTCGTACAGAGGTCCCGTACGACGATCGGTGTTTCACTGTCCGGAGGACACAGCGGGCACCGGATCGCGGTGCTGCGCGCTCCCAGGGAGCGCGCACAAGCAGGGTGTGGTGAGGCCGTTGATAGACGGCCACCCGACCCTGCAGTGCCACCGTCCGGCCGTTTATATACAACGGCCGGTCGGGAAGTGGTTAACTGCAGACTGTCAGCTTTAATTTGAGGGTATTTACATCCAAATCTTATATTTACATTCTTAAAAAGAAGGAACGCATCAGTGAGCTCAGCAACACCAGAAGACCATGGAAAACAACTGTGGTAGATGACCGAAAAATTCTTTCCCTGGTGAAGAAAACACCCTTCACAACAGTTGGCCAGATCAAGAACATTCTCCAGGAGGTAGGTATATGTGTGTCAAAGTCAACAATCAAGAGAATACTTCACCAGAGTGAATACAGAGGGTTCACCACAAGATGTAAACCATTGGTGAGCCTCAAACAGGAAGACCAGATTAGAGTTTGCCAAACCACATCTAAAAAAGCCTTCACAGTTCTGGAACAACATCCTATGGACAGATGAGACCAAGATCAACTTGTACCAGAGGGATGGGAAGAGAAGAGTATGGAGAAGGAAAGGAACTGCTCATGATCCTAAGCATACCACCTCATCAGTGAAGCATGGTGGTGGTAGTGTCATGGTGTGGGCATGTATGGCTACCAATGGAACTGGTTCTCTTGTATTTATTGATGATGTGACTGCTGACGAAAGCAGCAGGATGAATTCTGAAGTGTTTCAGGCAATATTATCTGCTCATATTCAGCCAAATGCTTCAGAACTCATTGGACGCCGCTTCACAGTGCAGATGGACAATGACCCAAAGCATACTGCAAAAGCAACCAAAGAGTTTTTTAAGAGAAAGAAGTGGAATGTTCTGCAATGGCCAAGTCAATCACCTGACCTGAATCCGATTGAGCATGCATTTCACTTGCTGAAGACAAAACTGAAGGGAAAATGCCCCAAGAACAAGCAGGAACTGAAGACAGTTGCAGTAGAGGCCTGGCAGAGCATCACCAGGGATGAAACATAGCGTCTGGTGATGTCTATGCGTTCCAGACTTCAGGCTGTAATTGACTGCAAAGGACTTGCAACCAAGTATTAAGTTAAAGTTTTGATTTATGATTATTCTGTCCCATTACTTTTGGTCCCTTAACAAGTGGGAGGCACATATGCAAACTGTTGAAATTCCTACACCGTTCACCTGATTTAGATGTAAATACCATCCAATTAAAGCTGACAGTCTGCAGTTAAAGCACATCTTGTTTGTTTCATTTCAAATCCATTGTGGTGGTGTATAGAGCCAAACATTTTAGAATTGTGTCTATGTCCCAATATTTTTGGACCTGACTGTATGAGATAGACCCATTACATGCAAAGCAAGATAGTTCAAGCCGTGATTTGTCATAATTGTGATGATTATGGCTTACAGCTCATGAAAACCCCAAATCCACAATCTCAGAAAATTAGAATATTACATGCAATCAATAAAACAAGGATTGTACATAGAACAATATCGGACCTCTGAAAAGTATAAGCATGCATATGTACTAAGTACTTGGTTTGGGCCCCTTTTGCAGCAATTTCTGCCTCAATGCGGCGTGGCATGAAAGCTATCAGCCTGTGGCACTGCTGAGGTGTTATGGAAGACCAGGATGCTTCAATAGCGGCCTTCAGCTCTTCTGCATTGTTCGGTCTCATGTCTCTCATCTTTCTCTTGGCAATGCCCCATAGATTCTCTATGGGGTTCAGGTCAGTCGAGTTTGCTGGCCAATCAAGCACAGTAATCCCATGGTCATTGAACCAGGTTTTGGTGCTTTTGGCAGTGTGGGCAGGTGCCAAGTCCTGCTGGAAAATGAAGTCGGCTTCCCCATAAAGCTCGCCTGCGGAAGGAAGCATGAAGTGCTCCAAAATCTCCTGGTAGATGGCTGCGTTGACCCTGGACTTAATGAAGCACAGTGGACCAACACCAGCAGATGACATGGCTCCCCAAATCAACACAGACTGGAAACTTTACACTGGACTTCAAGAATCTTGCAGTGTGTGCCTCTCCATTCTTCCTCCATACTCTGGGTCCTTGGTTTCCAAATGAGATGCAAAAGTTGCTCTCATCAGAAAAGAGGACTTTGGGACCACTGAGCAACAGACCAGGTCTGTTTTTCTTTAGCCCAGGTAAGACACTTATGACGTTGTTTGTAGATCAGGAGCGGCTTGACAAGAGGAATACGACATTTGAAGCCCATGTCCAGGATCCGTCTGTGTGTGGTGGCTCTTGATGCACTGACTCCAGCCTCAGTCCACTCCTTGTGAAAATCCCCAACGCTTTTGAATGGCCTTTTCCTGACAATCCTCTCCAGGCTGCGGTCATCTCTGCTGCTTGTGCACCTTTTTCTTCCATGCTTTTCCCTTCCACATAACTTTCTATTAATGTGTTTTTTGATACAGCACTTTGGGAACATCCAACTTCTTTTGCAATTACCTTTTGAGACTTTTCCTACTTGTGCAGAAAACCATCATTGACACCCTCCATAACTGTCAGGTCTGTAGTCTTTCCCATGATTGTGATTCCTACTAAACAAGACTGAGAGACCATTTAAAGGCTCAGGAACCCTTTGCAGGTGTTATGGCTTAATTAGCTGATTAGAGTGGGACACTTTGAGCCTAGAATATTGCACCTTTTCACAATATTCTAATTTGCTGAGATTGTGGATTTGGGGTTTTCATGAACTGTAAGCCATAATCATCACAATTATGACAAATCACGGCTTGAACTATCTTGCTTTGCATGTAATGAGTCTATCTCATATATTAGTTTCACCTTTTAAATTGCATTACTGAAATAAATGAACTTTTGCACGATATTCTAATTTTTCGAGTTTCACCTGTACATCGTGGTGAGGAGAGTATCCTATGTTAATTTTTTTTTTTTTTTTTAAGCTCTTCAAAGTTTTTGCAAGAATCTTTAAAATCCTGATACACTCACCAGCCACTTTATTAGGTACACCTTGCTCGTACCGGGTTGGATCCCCTTTTGCAGTCAGAACTGCCTTAATTCTTTGTGGCATAGGTTCATCAAGGTGTTGGAAACATTCCTCAGAGATTGAGTCCATATTGACATAACATCATGTAGTTGTTGCAGATTTGTAGGCTGCACATCCATGATGCGAATTCTCCCATTCTACCATATCCCAAAGGTGCTCTATTGGATTTAGATATGTTGACTATGGAGGCCAATGGAGTGCAGTGAACGCATTGTCATGTTCAAGAAAC